GCTGCACTGTGGTTATGTAGGAGGACGTTTTTGTTCCTAGAAGATACTTTTAACTGTACAGAGGGTGAGGTGATATGTGCACCTAATGGGAGTAAGGGAGAGAGGTGAAGAGAAAGGAAGAGAGGCATGAGCAAAGAGAAGAGAGAGAGGGAGGAGAAATAGGAGGGAAGAGAAAATGAGAGATGTTGAGAGAAGAAAAGAGACTGAGTGAAAGAAAGCTTAAGCAAGAGCACGCCGAGTACAAAAATAGGTTTGTTGTACCATTCAAAAAAATATGCTAAGGGCTGAAAGGTTATGTGAGTGCTCACTCAACTATTCTTTCCACTTTTCTGTAGGTTTGCAATTTTTCAAAATGAAAAGTTAGGAATAACTTAGAATGCTAGAAAGTAATCCTGTATCTGTGCAGAGGGGAAACAGTGAGCCCTTAAAGCCAAGCTGTTTCTTGTAACGCATGGCGCAAAAGGCCTCTCTGTTGTGAGATTTGATAGTCGGCTGTCTGCCAAAGGGAAGAAGGCAAGTCAGAGTGTCTGAAATACTTATGGGTTAAATGTCCTCCACTGGGACATTATGGCAGTTACATGATTTCTAATTAAGAAGGTAAACACCCTAACATTTATTTAAAAAAAACCACTTAGTACAAACTACTTACACATTCGTAAGAGTATAAATATTTTTGGAGTTAAAGAGGTCAATAAATAGTAAAATGATTCTGATTTTAATGTTCATGTACATGTGTTCACTGGTTACTGCTTTGAATTTAATTTAAGACGGCCTTTTTAATAAGCAGAAAATGTGCATTTTTATATTGTTTAAATTTAATATGGATTTTTCTTCAAAACAACACAGACATTCAGGCTACTTGTAAATGATACAAGACTTTTTGCTAATGAGGCATTATGTAGAACATATGCAAAAATCACAACTCAGTCTTCCAAAATCGACCACAACAACAGGAAAAAACACGATTTTCATAAAAAGAGCAGCACTGGGCTTTTACTTCAAAGCAATTAGGGGCTTTGGATAACCAAAAGTTGATGTCAAGCTGATGCCAGACCAAACTGGTCTATTAAACACATACTATCAAGAGTTTCTGTAATATTCTATGAAAAGGCTCTCTGCCATAAATATCAAGCACTGCCACTCTGAAGATTACAACTACGTTAGGTTCATGTTTGAGAACAAGGAGTCCAACGTTCAGATCAGACTTCTAGAATTTCAAATCTGAAATGATGTATCCGCGAAAGAAAACTTTAAATATGTTTCCCATTTCACGATTTTTCTCTACAGTAAATTATACTGAGTTTTATATTCTCCCCAACATCTTTTTCAACAGTTTTCCATTAGTCTAAAAAAATTGCTGTTACATATAAAATTGTAAGCTCTGTGTAAACATTTAAAAAAGGCATTGAAGACCTTTATTTTAAGTTATTTCCTCAGTTTCAACAACTATATTTCAAGAAACAATATGCTATCCACTATAGGTATCTTTCCTTCTAAGCAAATAACATGTAAATTTTCCATTTTATAAAAGCAGTGAGGTAGGTACACACTGATTTATTTCTCTGGTCTCTGCAATAAAAGTTCCTTTGCCTTTACTACTCATTTGTCTCTGCTTTTAATTCTTGATATGACAAAAATAGACTGCTACAGAGTAAATGAAATAGCCCCTAAGGAGGGACTTACCTCTTCTATGTGTATATGTTGGTGTCTCTTGTTGGTAATATTTATAGTAGGAAAGTATGTATCCTTGTCTGTCACTCTATTTCTTCTGTTGTTTTAGTTTTAGGATTGAAGGACTTTTGGATTTCCCTTTCAGTTAACACTAGCTCCTAAATGATCACATCCCTTTGGAAAAGGGAATGGCCAACACAGTGTCCACCTTACTCTATAGGAACTTGATAAATGTAACAAACAATTCTTGATAACTTTGTACTCAGTGGTTGAGTAAAGATGATATAGGGACTGCCCCAAGCTTGGACTTGGCCTATGTGAATTTTTATATTCAGACAAGGTCTTAAACATAGCTGTTGGCATTTACTAAGAGCACCATATTCAGTGTTGAGTTCTGGTCCTTTAGCACTGTTTCTCACTGTTTTTTAAAGTAGGCCAAGTCTAAATCATTTCTTCTTCCTATAGAAATATGAATAACTCATAGGTATTCAAGCTTACCCTTTAGCCAAGGTTCAAATTACAACCCCTAATTCAAATATGATTCTCAAAAATATTCTTATTTCTTTTGCCTTGCACTTAGAAGGGTGTATAATGTAATGTCACTAGACATATAGGATTTCTTGTATAATTTAATTTTACACATAGTTATTTAGGAATAGAATTTTTAAAGGTAACACTAATCTGATAGAACTATGAAATATAAAGCTTTTTATATATTTTTAGCCCACTTTTAAAAACACAAGTCTGATATTAAGCATCTTTTCTTAGGATCTTTATATATTACCACATAAGTTTAGTTTGTTAAAAGATGAATAAACTCTGAATCTGAAATGAAAAGCTAGAAAATCTTACTTGATTTTTCTAATAAGAACCTAGCCATACAAGTATGTTATCAAAGTTGTTGAAAAGGAGAAAAATAAGTACAGCAACTAGGTCTGGTTTTTAAGAAAATCCAGGGAAATGAAAGAGACCTAATAACCAAATGCTCTACGTAGACCTTATTTGGATTCCAATTCAAATAAACAGTAGAAAGATATCTTCACAGAAGTTTGAAAATAAACTAGTTATTAGACCCTATCAAAGAACTACTGTGATTTTTGTTGGGTGTGATAATGGCATGGTAGTTATGTTCTAAAAAATTCCTTTTCAGACAGAAATACAGGTTGAAGTATTTATGGGTGAGGTGATGTGATATCTGGCTGGGGATAATTAGGAAAATAAATGTGAGTGGACAGATGAAACAAGAATGGAAATATGTTGACAGCTGTTAAAGCTGAGTGATATGTGTGTGAGGGTTCAATATATTACTTTCTGTACTTTCGGGTATGCTTAGTTCAAAAAAGAAAAAGAAAAGAAAATCTATAAAGGGAAAAATAATTCAAGGACTATGTTAAAAAGATAAAGTCTTGTTGAAAGCACAATGTCAAAGCAGAAAATGGATGAACAGGTACCAGGAACCAAAAAAATGGCAAAGAAGGATGGGAAAGAAAATATTATACATTATAAAATGTCAGAGATGACAAAAATAAGCAATGGGGAAAGTGGTCCCTATTTAATAAATGGTGCTGGGAGAACTGGCTAGCCATAATGCAGAAAATTGATAATGAACCCCTTTCTTACATCTTATACAAAAATTAACTCAGGATGGATTTAAGGACTTAAATGTAACACCTGAAACTTTAAAAACCCTAGAAGAAAACCTAGGCAAAGATATCATTCAGGGTATAGGTACAGGCAAAGATTTCACAATGCCATAAGCAACTGCAACAAAAGCAAGAATTGACAAATGGGATCTAATTAAACTAAAGAGCTTTTGCACAGCAAAAGAAACTATTAACAGAGTAAACAGATAACCTACACAATGGGAGAACATTTCTGCAATCTATCCATCTGACAAAGATCTAGTATCCAGCATCTATAAGCAACTTAAATTTACAAGAAAAAACACAAACAACCCCATTAAAAAGTGGGCAAAGGACATGAACAGACACTTCTCAAAAGAAGACATACATGTGGCCAACAAATACAAAGCTTAGCATCACGGATCATTAGAGAAATGCAAGTCAAAACCCCTGAGATGCCATCTCACACCAGTCAGAATGGCTGGTCAAAAAAAAAACAGATGCTGGTAAGGTTATGGAGAAAAAGAATTGTTTTTACACTATTGGTGGGAGTGTGATTTAGTTCAACCATGGTGCAAGACTGTGTAGCGATTCATCCAAGACCTATAGGTAGAAATACCATTCAACCCAGCAATCCCATTACTGGGTATATACCCAAAGGAATAGAAATCATTCTAGTATAAAGGTATATGCACACATGTGTTCATTGCAGTCAACCTAATTGCAATCAACCTAAATGCCCATTAATGATAGGCTAGATAAAGAAAATGTTGTACATACACACCATGGAATACTATGCAGCCATAAAAGGGAATGAGATCATGGCCTTTGCAGGGACATGGATGGAGCTGGTGGGCTATTATCCTTTACAAACTAATGCAGAAGCAGAAAATCAAACACTGCATGTTCTCACTTATAAGTGAGAGCTAAATGATGAAAACACATGGACACACAGGTTCAGAGAACAATACCCACTGGGGCTGTCGGAGGGTGAGGAGTGGGAGGAGGGAGAGCATCAGAAAGAATAGCTAGTGGAAACTGGGCTTAAGATCTGGGTGATGGGATTATCTGTGCAACAAACTACCATGGTAGCCCAGTTTCCACTACATCTGCACATCCTGCACATGTACCCCTCAACTTAAAAGTTGGAAATTAAAAAAAAAATTTTTTTTAAGTGTCATAGATGAAATGAAAGGCAGGAAGGAGACTACCTACAGGTCCCACTGTAATCTTATTACAGTCAACCGACTGCAATCCAAACTTGGAATATTAGGGATCTTTTTAGGATTACAAACTGGAACCATAATATGGAATTTATTATCTTTTAAGATTGAAAAAATTAATGCTGGACTTACTTACAAGGTATGCCAACAGCTGAGTTTTTGTCACCCATACTTCTCTCAGTAGTTATAATCAAATGGTATCAGAACTTCCTGCAATCTTGGCAAATGGGGTAAATGAACAGAGAAAACAAGATGAGGGTGATTTCCACCCATCAGAAGCTGCTTAAAAGCAGAGCAGGTTAGGAAAAACTGTCCTTAGAGTTATTGACAGAAGTTAGTAGGTCGAGTGTAGGCTTATATAAAGAATGTTAAGTAAAAACATGATTTTAAAAGAGGCTAGATAAACTTATCCTTTTATGGCACATGATAAAGTATTTTAAACTAATTTTGACCTTATCAAAGTGATATTTCTGTTTTAACATACCTTTGATCTGTAGCTTGCTGTTCTCGAAGCTGAAGAAGAGATAACTCAATTTCATTTTCTTTTTTCCTCAACTGAGTTTTCAGGATCTCAGCCAAGTGCTCTAACTCTTCTATCTGGCCTCTTTGTGACTGAATAACATTTTCTCTAAAATAAAGAGCCTTTGTAAGAATTTGCAGTTTGAGGAAAATTTTGCAGTAGTTAAGATCAGTGCAAAGAAAGTTCTTCATGAAAAGGAGCAAGCAGAAGTTAAAAAATTTAGCTTAAGTGCCTCTGCACACAGTGAAATAGTAGCAGATTAAATGTGATGATTTGGAAATACATATGGAACAAGGCAAGATACTGCTTTTTACAAGATAAGGTCCCAGGCAACGGGCTGGACTTTGGTTTGATTCAATTAAGTAAGTATTTATTATGGAGTACACCTACTATGTACTTCACAATCTCGTCTTCAGATTATTTATATATATGCCTTTGTTCGTTCATATATGCACATCTGCTTGTAACACCCAAATTAACACTTCAGAGAGAGGTGGCAGGAAATTTTCCAAACATAACTTAGTGGTCTCTGGCATGCATTTAACGCTATCATGTCTGACAGCATCATACTGTAATGTATACAGCATACTGTATCATACATCATACAGCATCATACATGACAGCATCATGCTGTAATGAGCCTCAGGAACTGATATAAACTTTGGCTTTTCAGGTGATTATCAGGTAACAAGGTTATGTTTAGTCTTTTATTCTCCTGCAGGCTAATCATTACTGTAACTGCTATTTAAAATATTCAAAAGAAAACCTTTTAAGACCATATTATTATTATTTTTTTTTTTTGAGACAGAGTTTCGCTTTTGTTACCCAGGCTGGAGTGCAATGGCGCGATCTCGGCTCACAGCAACCTCCGCCTCCTGGGTTCACGCAATTCTCCTGCCTCAGCCTCCCGAGTAGCTGGGACTACAGGTGCGTGCCACCATGCCCAGCTAATTTTTTTATTTTTTAGTAGAGACGGGGTTTCACCATGTTGACCGGGATGGTCTCGATCTCTTGTCCTCGTGATCCCCCCGCCTCAGCCTCCCAAAGTGCTGGGATTATAGGCGTGAGCCACCGCGCCTGGCCTAAGACCATATTATTCTTAAGCAACTATTTTAAGTATGATACTGTGTGCCATGTTTTCTTTTCTCATTAAGTATTGTTACTTGTTGATGATCTAGGTGAAGGCTTATAGTAAAAATTGGAACCTTACCCTCATTTGTGTGACTCACAGACACTGAAACCATGAGGCTTTGATTAACTAGAAAAGTAAGCTAAATGTAATAGAAGTCACTTTTTTGAAACAATATGATGAAGAATGCAGTACCATAGAATCATACGAAAATAAAATCTGAAATCCATATGTACCTGATAACTCCAAACTTTTATACCACTCCCCAATTCTTTTTTTTTTTTTATGTAGGAAAAAGTTAATTGATTCAGGATCTAAAAAAATTACCTGTGATTTTCTGGGAATAAAAATGTTGCCTCTAAATCTTACACTATTCTAACTGATTGGACTTTATGCCATTCCTCTGAGGGTAAAATTATAATAAAGAAGACAATTCTATAAATCCTTCCATTGATTCAGCTGGATTAAGTTGTTCATTTTCCTGAAAACATGTTATATAATATCTGTTGTTACCCTACAGAATATAGCTGTATTTTATTGCAACAAATTGTTTATATATAACACAGTTTGGTTTAAAATAAAGGAAAGGGAAGGATTAAAAAAAAAAAGACATGATCAATAACCAAAGTTCTCCAATGATCACAAAAAAGGACACATACAAATTTCTTATTTCTCCTCTGGCTTCTTCAAGTAAACTGTTGCCATATTTTGTAAACATGGGATGTGGATTTTCAGCTACATCTACATCTTGGAATTTTATACCTAAAAAGAAAGTAATAAAATGCAATTATAGAAGTGAAGTTAGAAAAGAAGGATCTTTGATTTGCTACATTTTTAATATAATAAAATCTCTTATTAAGTATTAAGATGTATGTGTTCTATAGTATACAGAATTAGAAATACACTGCCAAAGGGAGTATGTGATCTTAGCCACCAGCAGGCATTAAATAAAACACAGCAGCAAGTATTGCTCATTTTACAAATCTACTGTAGAAATCAAATTACCTAGAAATAATTTTATTCAACTTAAGATTTAGACTTCTGCAGTAATTTCTGAAAAAATCAGAGTCTTCAAGTTTTTACAATGTCAACTGAAGTATGAATGAAAATAGGTCATAAAAACGTGATTCTTTCCCCTAGTGTTTGTGATAAAGTTTTTTTTTTTAATTTTTAAATTACTCATTCATATTCCTTGCCCTTAAGTGTTTAAGGAAAAACGCTTTCTGTATTTTGATTTATTCCAACCCAATAAGAAAATCCCTATTTACAAAAAGGTACTTTGAGAATTGATCATCAACAGAATTTCTTTAATTAAACATTGCCCTGCTGCACTTAAAATATAACTTTTCTTATAGAAATAATTATGTATGATTTTGCAAAGGAAGTCCCATTGTCACAAATAAGCCATATTCTTAATTATGTGAGTTATTTTACATTTATATAGAATAACTAAATATTAGAGTTTAAGTTAAAGCTTGACAGATGATTACGATTTTTAAATGGAGAACAAAACAACACATTTATTCTCTTTAGAAAAGTTAGCTTTTTAAAAGTGAGATTTAATTGCTCTGCATTCTCAGTAAAGAGAAAATTTTAAAAAAAGAATTCTAATTAGAATAATGGAACTATTACTTGCTATTTCTAAACTAGTCAATATCTATTGCTGTAATCCTGAAGCATAGAAAAGGCTCTAAAACATTAAAATAGTTTACTGTGTTAGAATTTGCCAATTATATTATTTTGGCAGTAATGCTAATTCTTATGCTTTTCCTACATATATCATGAAAAAAATTCATTACTAGTGGAAATTAAAAAATACTCAAAACATGTCTTAAAACTTAGTCTCATAGTGATTTGCCAATGGCTGTGTGTGTGTGTGTGTGTGTGTGTGTGTGTGTGTATAGTTTACCTGTTAAAGATTGATACATAATATTGTACATATCGGTGGGGTACATGTGGTATTTTGATATATGCATACAATATGTAATGATCAAATCAGGGTGTTTAGGATATCCATCACCTTGATCATTTATTGTTTGTATTGGGAATATTTCAAATATCTTCTGGTTATTTTGAAATATTCAGTATGGTGTTGTTGCCTATAGACACTCTACTGTGCTATAAAATACTATACCTTATTCTTACTTATTCTAATTCTATGTATGTGCCCATTAACCAACCTCTTTTCATCCTCCCCAGTGCCCCACACTTTCCCCAGCCTCTAGTAACTATCAATCTACTCTCTACCAATGGTTACATTTTAAAACCTTTGCTTTACAAAAATATTTGTTCATTGGTTCCTCAGAGTAAATATAGTTTCTATATTACATTGATCACACATTTAGCCAGTGCTTTCCAGCCTTTATCCTGACAAGGTACAAATAGGAAACAATAGTATTTGTACAGCAGCTTGATTGTCAAGGCTGCTTGTGGCCATAGAGGGGTTCTGGGGTTCTTAGCCAGCCATCCCAGGCTGAGATATTTTCCTGACAAGTCTGGCCTGTCTCAGCCTCAGAGGCAGTCCCGAAGAGCCTGCTAAGGTGTCAGTCTTGGTGGGGATGCTTCAGGTTTACTCATAACCACTATGATTAAGAAGGTATTCATCACCACTTCATGCTTTGTCTTCCATGTCCTGAACTCTATCCTGAACAGTAAGAAAGCTCTGAACCACCAAGAGAATACAAATGTAAGGAGAAATTTAAGCTACATAGTCATGTTTTTAAAAGCTCTGCTGCTTGGTGGTTCTTAATTAAGCTATAGAAACTTCCAGCAAACTCTCCTGACTGAACAGCAATTAATAGCACTAGATTAGCTTGTCATTTTAATTGACATTGACAATATTATGATTTTATCAAAGAGATGTCAAAAATTATTTTTCTCTTCCTAAAGACACTTAAAGGCATGAGTAATACAGAAATAAAACTTTGCATTTTTTTATGTTAAACAATCTAATAAGACTTCAGTTTAGATTTAAAGTAAAATCTGGGCATTATAGTCTTATTTATTTTTAGAGACAGTGTCTCACTATGTTGCCCGGGCTGGACTCAGACTCCTGGGCTTAAGTGATCCTCCCACTTCAGCTTCTCGGCGACTTTAGAGGTGTATCATTGTGCCTGGCTTGCACATTACTTTTATTTAGTATAAAAGATCTTGCAGACTTTAGGGATCATCTTGCTCAGTTCCAGTTCCAGATGACAAAACTAAGGTTCAGAGAGGATAAGTCACTTTAAAGGTAAAATACATGATTGTGAGAGCCACCATCTCCTGATGTCTTACCTAAGCTGGATTATCACTCTATTTTATAGATGGGAAAAATGAGGCTGAGGTCAGTATTCTCTTCCACATAAAAAGTTAATCAGTGGCAGAACGTACTTTCTGATTTATAATTCATTATGCTACTTTAGTTGTATTCAGAGTCTACTGCCAATCTCACATAGTGAGGAGTAGCCAAGCCCTTTCATCCTGCAGCTGCCTCCTGCCTATATGGAGGCCTTATTGACTTCAAAGGAACTCTATCTAGGGAACTGATAGTGTTAACATTTTGGCTTGGAGAGCAAACTACAACAAATTTTTCTCCCTTTCTGTTCGCAGTGGTTTTTTTGCCTTCCTCAAAGAACTGAAACTAAAGTTTTACATGATACTTTATATCCCTAAAAATCTTTGGTCTTTATGTAAGGTGTATTTCAAACAAAAATCAATTAGAGCTAAAACCTTATTTCCTTTCCTAATAGTTAAAATCTTAAAAATGTTACTTAAGGTATTTATTGACTTGTGTTTCCATTATAATAAAGCTTCTCTTTGGGTGAAGAGAATTGAAATATTTTATTAGAAATATTTATGTTCTATATTGAGTCTTTGCTCCACAACTGAATTATTTTGCAGCCTGGGTACATTTTAGGTTATTAATTTTTAAAGTGAAGAAAGCGATTGGCCTATGATCATTTTTAGCAATGGAAGAGACCTTTACTGTGACTTGTTTCAATCCTTTTACTTTATATGTAAAGAAAACTCAGGGTCAGAGTGATAAGGAGACTTGTCCAAGGTCACCAGCTAGAAAGTGGAGAAATAAGGACCCAACTTTTTAAACCCCTGGTTATATGCACATCCCACTATCATGCTACTGCCATACAACAAGAAAGATGTCAACACTTTTGCAAATTTTCTAAAAGGTCTTTGGATGAAAAACTTAAATGTGATCATTCAATACAGTAAGTGTGGCCATATGTAAGCAAACTAGCTGGTTTCCCCCACCTGCCTGAGTACAGTGTGTTTCACAACCAACCTGAACTCAATTTAACTCATTTACTTAGTTTCATACATGTCTGTTACATCAAGGTTAGTAGAATGTTTTTACTAAACAAATTTGAGACTGATCTAGTAATTCTTAAATTATCTTCACTGACAATATTATTTTATCAAAGAGAAAGTAAAAAATTATTTTTCTCTTCCTAAAGATACTTAAGAGCACCAACAGCATAGACATAAAACTTTGTGGGGTTTTTTTTGTGAGTGTGTTAAATTGTCTCATAAGACTTCGGTTTAGAATTAACATAAGCTTTGTTTTACCTTTCCTGGGGCATTCCTGAAAGCCTGCACTTTCATTTGCTTTTCTACGCCCAGTGTTAATGCGAGATTGTACGTTATTGTATGGAGTTTGCCTGTAACCCTGGATTTGAAGTTGCTGTTTGGCTGAAATTAGTCTGTGTTTGAGGGCTTCATTTTGTCTTTCGAGCTCATGGACTTTCTCTTGCAGCTGCTCAATCATTTCTTCCATTTCCACATCTCGTCCCAGCCGCTTGGGGCCGCCACCAACCCGCTCATATCTTTTCTTGTCATTAACTAGCCGTATTAACTTGGTGGCCATTCTGGGGAAATAATAAAAAGATGAAAAGGAATGTGAGAAGTCAGCATAAAATGCATTCTGTTGAAAGGAACATAATCACTGTGAAGACTTCAGTGCAGAACCTGAATAATAAATTTCAGGTTTTGATGTAACTATTACTGCCTGTGAAGAATCCTTTGATGATAATTGAAACCACTGGGCAACAATCTGCTTTATAGCACTGACAAATAACAGTTTCCTAAGGCTTATCATTTAAGGTTAGTAAAGAGAGGACACATATTTACTCCATATGTTCCTGAAATGCAATTTTTAACGCATGACCTTATATAGGAATGCTGTATGCACTTAGACGTAGTTACAGATTGTGGATGTGGTGGGTTATATCTGCAATCCACAGTAAGTTAAAACTTTTGAAAAGTGTGTTACGACTGCAGCATTTAGGTAATATATTGTTTTCAGTTTCTCCAGGATTAAGACACACTATAAATATAAAAGTGTTAGAATGCATAAATGCACACATATAAAGCCCAATGAAAAATTCAAAAGAAACCAAAATGCACCAATAAATGTTGCTTAGTGCTCAAGAAACACTTGTGTTTAATGGTAAAAAATAATTAGATGCAAAAAGTGTCGTTTTAATGCTATCCTTAAATTTAGACATAAATTGTACTTTTGACATCTCAGGAGTTTATATCTTTGATTCTTTTAAGTTTTGATAAAAACTGGTTAGACAGAACAAAAGACAGAAAGGGCACATTGGGGTGATGTAATATACACGTACGGAAAACATGCCTGACAGTGAATGGAAAAATCTTGGCAGGACAAGAAAGAAAAGGTGGCTTTGATGAGAGACACAAGTTCAAGACTTTACAAAATTGGTCGCACATCTTCAATAGCTGATTCTAGTTTATAGTGAATCTATTTTTATAAAGACCCAGACAGGAGATTGAAAATAAAAACATACTTCATTTTTCTTTAAATGGGGTTTGCTTTATTTTAGCATGGTTATGGACAGAAGCTTTTACTTAAGGGAACAAAAGTGAAATAAAAAAATCCTTAATAGCTTTGGGATGTCATAGCACAACCTTTTTTTCTGCCCTAAGCAGAGTCCGCTGTAAATGCGGTAGTAATACATGTCTATCTACACTTCTGGCTACTCAGCCTACAGCATGTGGCATCAGGGAGAGCTATGCCTAACATAATCAGTTAAGATTGTTTTCTCCTTCCCTTGAGGCACATCCATTAAGCATGCTTTATAAAGGATACAGGATAATAAAAACCAAGATTCAAGAGTACCGCAAACACTCTAGCAAAATAATCAGTGGATTAGGTCCTTTTTCACCTAATTCTGAGAATGACATATCACTGGGAAATTTGGCCAGGTATCACAGTTCAACAGGGCCATATATTCTACCTGGTCCTTTAATGAGTTTAGGGTCCTAAGCCCCATCCAATGGCCTATGCATAAAAATAGCATTGTCACAAGAATGAGATGCCAACTTAAATATCTGAATTACCTGTTACAGAGAGACTTTCACACAGAGATATAGATAACATTCAAAAAAAGACACAGATTAATATAAAAAGGCAGTTAACGACTAGAGAAAAATAATGACCCTAATTTTTAAGTCAGGAAAAGCACAGCAATAGAGTACCTTTAAATTTTTCAAATGATGTTCAAATAAACTTTGTCAAGAAACATGATTGCATCTGTTCATCTAGTAATAGCCATATATTCCATTTGCCGGATTTGATTATTTTATCATATTAATGAGTCATAAGTGAACTGGCAAAGTCCGAATGCTTACTTAAAAAGGTAGTTTTGGCTAGATGCGGTGGCTCACACCTGTAATCCCAGCACTTTGGGAGGCCAAGGTGGGCAAATCACTTGAAGTCAGGAGTTTGTTCGAGACCAGCCTGGCAAACATGGTGAAACCCCATTTCTACTAAAATATAAAAGTTAGCCAGGTATGGTGGTGGGTGCCTATGATCCCAGCTATTCGAGAGGCTGAGGAAGGAGAATCGCTTGAACCCGGGAGGTGGAGTTTGCAGTGAGCCGAGATCCAGCCACTGTACTCCAGCCTGGGTGACAGAGTGAAACTCCCTCTCAAAAAATAAATAAATAAATAAAAAGTTAAAAAAAGGTAGCTTATGAAATCTACATTTATAGAAAATAATACTATTGACTTCTTCTTCTTTTTTTTTTTTTAGACACTATTTTGCTCTTGTTGCCCAAGCTGGAGTGCAATGGTGCAATCTCGGCTCACTGCAACATCTGCCTCCCGGGTTCAAGCGATTCTTCTGCCTCAGTCTCCAGAGTAGCTGGGATTACAGGCATGTGCCACCATGCCCGGCTAAGTTTTTGTATTTTTAGTAGAAACGGGGTTTCACCATGCTAGCCAGGCTGGTCTTGAACTCCTGACCTCAGGTGATCTGCCTGCCTGGGCCTCCCAAAATGCTGGGATTACCAACATGAGCCACTACGCCTGGCCTATTTACTTCTTAAGGATAAATTTAAAGACAGTTCTACCCATGTATCTAGGTCATGGTCAGTGGTATGAGATTGAGAGGAATTCAGAGCTTTTGGGTCATACTGTTCATTGGATCATTACTCTCACAGTTAAGTAAAATAAATTCCGGGAGGTTAAATGGCTTGACCATATCATAAGCTAGTGGCAGAGAGATAAAAGAATAGATACATACCACTTGATTCCTTGCTCGATCCTTTTTCCATTAAACTACATGGTTCATTATTAAGGTGTTTATTTTCTGGCTATGTCAAATTACTAATGAGGTCATGGATGTGAATTCAATTTTTTTACTCACCAATTAGGCTTACAAAGAAAAAAACTGTTAGGTGGTCATAGTAGACTACATGCCTCATTCTGATTGGCTGATGTGTGTGTGGGATATCGGTCAGAAAAGGAATCAGGCAAGTCAGTCACAAGTCTTGAAAACAGCCATCATCATGACTTAAAACCCAACTCAAAGTAAAAGGCCTGCACATAGCAGGTCAGTGGGTTGCTAAAGTCCACAGAGTAGAAGCTGAACTGGAACCACCTCCCTAGGAAGGATTCTAAGCAGAAAAACCCTATTTTCATTCTTCAACGGCTGTCTCACCTTTTCTTTGAACCTGGAACATAAATATGAATACAGACCTGCCCATGATTACACATCTGAACATAGTTCGTTTTTAATGCTGTCCCTTCAGAAGAGAGGCACAGCATTTCTGAATAAAAAAAAATGAAAGAGTATCTACCCTTAAGAAATCATATTTGCCAAAATTTTTTGCACATAAATCAAAAGTGACAATACTGTTTCTTCAGAAACAGTACAGACTCTTTGAAATCAATATAGAATCTAGTCTAACCCAAGCAAAGTTAAATATGTTCCAGAGACTGAAGTGATGTTTTCATTAGTAAACCCCAAATCTTAAGGGAACATGCCTTCTAACAAATTAGAATAGTTAGTTACTTTTTAAAACTTTCGTTTTAAAATCCAGACATTTAAAAAACAGATGCTTTGGCCATTTGCTTATTAAACTATAAATATTAAACCAAGTTATTTATAGAAATGATATACTCCTGTTACTCTTAGCTATTAGCTTTTCTCTTTTAAATGGTAAGTTCAGACATAATAAACACTCATAATCTTTTTGGTTTACTATTCTAGTTTGCAAGATTTTCCATTTTTAAAAATTATATTTATTTACATCCTGCTTGATTCCAAACAAGATTCAAGGTGGGGTTTTCAATTAAGTTTATAAAATACCATACCCTCCAAGTTTTACTGAGTCAAGAAGAGAAGCTAAAAGCTTTTTATCATAACCTTTTAATTTTATCCTCCTGCTTGCAGGCATGCTGTTTAAGTAAAATGTTCTCATCATGCAAACGCAAAAATCTGTCTTCCAGTTCCTCACGACTGACACGCGACACTGCCTGGTGAGACTTCATTGTCCGTGTTGCTGAAGTTTCTGCAAAAATGCCAAGATAATTAATCATGGGGTTACTTAAAATAGTCTCTAAAAACTCTTGATATTAATATAATCTCTGAGGCACTCATCTTAGATTTTTTTTCCTTTGTGACCTACAATTAAGATTGCTTTAGAAAATGTTATAATGTTGTTTACATCAATTATTTAAGGTGAGAATAAAAATATTTGCTATTAATATTTTAGATACAGTATTAGGAATTTGAACAATAGTATTCATTCAAAAATGTATTCAAGCAGCCATTCTTTAAGAATGTAAGGGCAGCTGCGGTGGCTCAGGCCTGTAAGCCCAGCACTATGGTAGGCTGAGGCGGGCGGATAACGAGGTCAGGAGTCACAGCCTGGCCAACACAGTGAAACCGCATCTCTACTAAAGATAAAAAAAATTAGCTGGGCGTGGTGGTGCGCGCCTGTAATCCCAGCTACTTCGGGAGGCTGCGGCAGGAGAATTGCTTGAACCCAGGAGGTGGAGGTTGCAGTGAGCTGAGATCGTGCACTGCAGCCTGGGTGACAGGGCAAGACTCTGTCTCAAAACAAAACAAACAGACAAACAACAAAAAAACCCAAGACTATAAGATGGAATTCTGATTCAATAAAGACTTTTGAACGTACATGCTGAATGCTGTGACAACTAAAAGAGTATCTGAAAGTTATTTATTTATTTATTTACAAAGGCAAGAGTAAGAGTAATTTGGTAAACACAATATGATTAAGACATTTTTCTAAGCTATGGGTATTTTAGAAAAGGAACTATAAAATTGTAAGACCAAACAGAAAACACCCCTGAAATTTAAAAATTATCATTTAAAAGTTTCACAATTAATTTCTCTATATACTACCTTACATAATTTTTAAGAATGTTTATATTCTTTAGCATGTGTATATATCTGTTTGCAGATGTTTGAATTGGGTATTTTCCATACCATTGTGAAGTAGGTCAATTTTCAACAATTCTCCAATAGAAACAAAGAAAAACTGATAGAGACTAAGGTCCTGTGATGGTTTACTGAAGAATTGAAATTATACAATATTGAAACCCAATAAATTGTTTTGTACACCTCAAACCTATTTGTATTTTAATACTTGATTCTCCCTGAATGATCTCTAAAGCAAAGCTTATACGCAATTTTTACTGTTAACAATAAAATCTGTGTAGCCAAAAATTAGCTGGGCTAATTTTACAGGCACACGCCTATAGATCCAACTACATGTGGAGCTTAGGCAGGAGAATTGCTTAAATCCAGGAGGTGGAGGTTGCAGTGAGTAGAAATTGTGTCACTGCACTCCAGCCTGGGAGACAGAGTGAGACTCCGTCTCAAAAAAAAAAAAAATCTGTGTAGCCAAACTTTATTTTTTTCAATAAACCACTTTACTGAAGTTTTCACAAGTCGCCTTTTACACTGGTCTGATTAAAAAGTATATGTAGATTACTGAGTGTAATGTATCTTAAATCCCTAGCCTATTCAGGCTAGAGGGGGATTTTACATCTTCTAAGAGTTGTTGATAATTGATACATGCATGCCAACATGGCTGATACACTCTACACACAAAGATAAACACAGCTCTCTATTCTAAATTGTTCTTTATAGTGCTTTTCTTTCTCAATTTGAAAGTGCTTTTTAGCTCTACAGCAACTAAGTGACAGAAGAATAAAGAAAACTTTTAATCCATATTAATTTGATACAAAAGTCACTATCATGTGAGATAGTCTACTTAAAAGGCAAAATGTTTAAATATGGCCTTTCCTCCCATATAAAATTTAAACATAAAGAAATGTTTTAATACTGAATGTAATTTAAACCAGGCAATTCAGTTTGGAGGCTTGATACTCTCTATGCAGTTTCTACTGATGTGAGGAATTTTAAAAAGATGATTTATGTTAATTCTTTATTAGAACGGGGGGGACTGTACACTTTCTATGAGCTGTTGATAATGGATGCATGTAGTAAAATGTCATATGTGTTCTAAACCCTTCATCTTTTTGTTTAGTCCAATCAAGGACTATATAGTTACTTAAACAGTTTGGTTTGTATGAGTATCAGAAATACTTTAAATTAAAAGTAAAGAAGTCAGTGATCAAAGTTCATAACTGTACTAAATAACAGCTGGCCATACCTTGTAACTCTCCCATTCCAAAGAGGTTTAGACCTATGTCTTTCACAGGCAAGTCTCCTGCAGTCTCATCAGTTGGACCAGACATGGCCTAGCTGGGGAGAAAAGAAAATTCACTCTTTCCAAGTTACTACATTAACTATGCAATGGAATGAAGCAAATAAAATGAAAAGGGGACTAGAACTTTAATGGGCATCTTATTGTCCACATGTGCTGCCTGAAGATGAAAGCTTCTATTCTAAAAGTACTACTACATTCAATCATAGAGTCAGTGTTCCTTTCAGCAGTATATTTTGTATAATTTGCTTAGGAAATGAGGTAAGATTATCATTTAAGAAATACCTCCTCTCCATCCCTTCCCTCTCCCCAGCCTCCAAGAGGAAGCAGGTATCTTGCAAAAAACTCAGGTCAGGAACTTGATTCAAATGGCTGCCCTATCATTAACGAATTGGTCAAGCCACTTAACTTCTCTGAGTTTCAGTCCCTCAGTTTAAAAAATGGAGAAAATAATACCTATCTCAGAGAGGTAAGCACTGAGCACATGTGCCTGATGTCAATATTACATAAATATTAATTGTGTAATTGATGCACAAATAGTGGGCAGTTCCAAGTTTTGTGAAAGAAGTTTCGTTGCGTAAATTTACCAAATTGTTTTTTTTTTTTGTGTGTCCTGCTTTTGTTGCTGTGGGGCTTAAGTCCTGCCCAGGGTTCAACTACCTCAACACACAGGCTGTCTAGCTAATTCTGGTATTTTTATACTTTCTATTGTTTCTTTTGAGACAGAGATTCGCTCTGTCGCCAGGCTGGAATGTAATGGCATGGTCTTGGCTTACTGCAACCTCTGCCTCCCAGGTTCAAGCAATTCTCCTGCCTCAGCCTTCCGAGTAGGTGGGACTACAGGCCCGCAACACCATACCCAGCTAATTTTTGTATTTTTAGTAGATACGGGGTTTCACTATGTTGGCCAAGATGGTTTTGATCTCTTGACCTCGTGATCTGCTCATCTCAGCTTCCCAAAGTGCTGGGATTATAGGTGCGAACCACGGCGCCCAGCCTATAGTTTCTATTTTTTACAGAAATGCAGTAACTTTATTTTGTATGTGGATGTGAGTGGTCCACACAATATCTATTTTGTAAAAAAAAAAAGAGGATTTTATATTTTCACTTCAATCTATCTAGTAAGCTAAAGGCACACTGTGAATGAAGGTACACTAAAGGGCAGAGTTCTTAAGCTCTAGGATATCGGTTCTAGAATGTGAAGACCAGGACAGTAGCAAGCTTTATATTGTCTTGTTCAGTTCTGTATTCTTGGAGGCTAGTACAGAGCTTGGAACATTCTGAGAGCAGGCATTCAAACAGCTGTTGAATGAATGAATGGGGTCTGTGAACCTAGAGATCATTTACCAAATTTTATATGTATATATGCAATATCTTTCAAAGAGGGTTCACAACTTTTATTGTAACTCACAAATGGTGGAGAACCATTGCTTTTTGCTGTTACAGAAACAGCTAACAGACAAATCCTTGGGAGATCATCTACTTCTTTTGGAAATACTGCTATCGAAAAGGTCAATTTTTAGGATCTTGTTGACACACAAGCCCATGTGTGAAAATGAGAAGTTTTCCATGACAGAGTTAAGGTCACTTTCAGAAAAATGAGAAGAATAATGATGATGATGATGATGACGATGATGGTGTTAACATTCACTACTTATTATGTGCCAGGTAGTGTTCTAAGTGCTCTGCTTATACGAATTAATGAAGTGTCTCACCATTTCCTTGTGAGGTTGTTACTCAAATGATTCCTGCTTTACAAATGAGGAAGCTGAGACACAGATTAGTTAACTCACTTAAGGTAGCAGTTAGAAGTATTAATAGTTGTGTCCGGTGATATTTTTGGTTGTCACAAGGAAGGGGGATGCTACTGGCGTCTAGTGAGTAGAGGCCAGGGATGATGTAAAACATCTAACAAGGCATAGGAGAATAACAATAAATTATCCAGCCCAAAATGTTAATAATAATGTGGAAACTGAGTAACCCTGCACAATGCTGCAATGCCTCTTCAACACCATCTCATGTTATCCCTCTTTGCTCACTATGTTCCACCTACACTGTTCTTTTACTTTCCTCAAACCCCCCATACCCTTGTCTTGCTCAAGGCCTTTGTATTAGCTGGCTCCTCAATCTTTGGAGCTCAGTTCACTTCCTCAGACAGGCTTTCCCTGAACTTCCTATGTTAGAGTAGTCTTCCTTAGATTTCTTCACTGTTTATTTCTTTTCTTTTCTTCTCTCTCTCTCTTTTTCTTTCTTTGATAGGGTGTTGCTCTGTTGCCTGGGCTGGCCTCGAATTCATGGGTTCAGGTGATCCTCCCATCTTAGCCTCCCAAGTAGCTGGAACTACAGGTGTATGCCACCACGCCTGGTTTGATTCTCTTATATCAACTGCCTCTATGTGAAATTATCAGATAAAATTATTGTTTGTCTCCACTAAAAAAGTATAAACACCTCGAGACGGGTATTAGTCTTGTTCACAGCTGTTCAGGAACAGTGCCTGGTACATGGTGGTAACTAACATTAATATATATTGGATGATTGGTTGGGCGTGGTGGCTCACGCCTGTAATCCCAGTATTTGGCAAGGCAAAAAGAAAAGAAAATGAAAAAAATTTGTTGAATGAATACATGGATACCAGGCACTGAGATTAAAATGGCAAGCAAAGTCCCTGCCTGTATGAAACTAGCAAATTATGGAAGTAATCAAACGATAAACAAATAATATACAATTAAGCAAACAATAGGCCACTCAGGAGGTTTAGGGTCTACCAACCAACTCCTAATCAAGGGCAAATGAGCAAACTGTGTTAGGGATAATCAACTTGCAGGATATGGATAGAGACGGCAATTAGCAGCATCAATTCTCACCTTCATGGCTGGGATATAACATTTCAAGTTGATCCTGGACGTTGGGATAAAGGGGCGGGCTGTGATTCAGGCCTGAGAATGTGGAGGTGTCTCGGGCTCGGCTGCTTTCACGCGAGCAGAACTCCAGGGCCTTCTCTAGGCCTCAGAGCGAACCCTAGGACTCTGGCCCGTGCTGCATAGGGAGGGTCCGCAACCTCCACCCACCATCATCCTCCCTCATCCTCCCCGAGTACTCACCGCGCCACTGGTACTGCAGCTAGCTACCGTTGCTATAGCGCCAACAGCGTGGCGGGCGGCTGGACGAGAGGAGCACGGGAAAAACATGGCAGGCCCCCGTTGCCTCCTGGGAAATGTAGTTCTCTTTGGACTCCAGCCCGTCTGCTTGCTGAGTAGCGGACTACGCTCTCCCAGCTGTCGGCCCTGGGAAATTCTCCTGCTCCCAACCCCGAGGCGCTCGCGGGCGTCGCCGCGAGGCATCCTGGGAGTAGTAGTTTTCTTAGCTCTGAGGGAGAATGGCTCCAGGCGGGATCAGGACGCTGAGAGAACTACATGCAGGAGGCGGGGTCCAGGGCGAGGGATCTACGTTGCTCTCTTGGCGAAGGCGGCTTTAGTGGCAGCATGAAGCGCACCCCGACCGCCGAGGAACGAGAGCGCGAAGCTAAGGTATGCTGGGCTCCTGGGGCCTGGGCTTCTTCTTGCGCTGGGAGCTAGGAACAGGGAACCTGAAGGGCTTTGTTTGTTGGCGAGCGGATGCACGGTGTTAAGCTAAGGGGTGACACGGCCTTGTCAGCAAGGGACCTGGAGACATTGGAGGGGGTGTTACAAATTCGTGCTGTTCAGGATGCAGGCCGAATCCTGTTGGATCGGCTCAAAAATGAGAAGCAAGATTCCCATTTTCTTGTCGTTCTTCTGCACGTATTCCTGGGTTAAATTTGTAGCCATCCTTGTGCCTCAGTTTACCGGACTCTCAGATGACTGTGATCTTACCAGCTGTGCTTTCTCATAATGGTCTCTGAGGACTGAATCGTGACTGAGATCGGCTTAGTAGAAATCGGCGGTCAGCTGTGTTTCTTTGGAACAGTTGTCTCAGTCACCGGCTGATACAGTTTGTCTCCTTTCAGCGCTGTGTATATGAGTTTTCAACTACATTGCTTTTCTCCATCTTTAGTGTTCAGTTTCTGGTAGTTGCCATTCCATGGGATGACCATGATAATGGCAATAGCGGTTTTAAAAAGCATTTATTGTGGGTCAGGCACTGTATTAGGTGCATAATATTTAAATTATTTTATATCATTGTCACAGCAAGATAGATATACAGATGGAGTATAAACAACGCCCTGCTTCACAGGCGAAGAACTGAGGCCCAGAAGAATTGAGAGTTTTCCTTTCTCTCATTCCCAAAGTCAGATCATGTTGATTTATCTATGTATTTTGGGAATCTATCCACTTTTTTTTTCCATCAGGCTACTATTATCTTCTTAATGGACTGTTGGAATAGTCTCTTGATTGGCCTATACTCACTCAACACCCTAACTTAACTCTTCTTCCACTTTCTTTTCCTTCCCCCAACAACCGTTCTCTTCTGACACCCTAAGTAAGATCTTCATGAAATGAAAATCTAATTATATCCCTTTCCTGTCTCCTTACTCTGCCAACCACCTGTTTAAAAATATTCCATGGCTTTCTGTTGCTCTTAGGATAAAGAAAAAACTTCACATTGCCTACAAGATCCTGCATGGTCTGGGCCCTAACTGCTTTCACAACCCCATTTGACATGACACTCTGCTGTCTGCCTGCCAGTCACTTTAGCCTTCTTAAAAGTTACTCTTCCCTGTACTTCATCTGGCTACAGGGCCTTTGCACATGTTATTTGGTGCCTACTCTATGTTAAGCAAATATTGGCGGTAAATATTGGTGTTAAATAATATAGACACAGAATTGTCTTGCTTTCATAGAATTTCATCTTACAAGTGAGTCTGTTTTAGGGCAATGCACCTAAGGATTTAAAATATAAAATCTGTTCTCTATTGACCTGAGTTAGTGCAGTATTTCATAAGGGACCTGAAGTCATGCTTGAGTCTGGATATGATGTGGATAATATGCTAAAGATAAGCACAAAGAAGGTGACCCTTCTGCTTTAGTTTACACAGTACAAAGTAACAAATGTCACCTCATGGTGTTGTGAATGATGTCTTTCTCATCTTTCAGGTTTATTTTTAAAGTAATTCATTTACTCTGTGAAGATTTATTGAGCACCTATTATTTGCCATACGTTGAGATTAGAATTTTGGCTAAAATAGAATCCCTGTGCCAAAGGAGCTCTTCCTCGATTGAAACCATAACCATTGTCTGTGAGGTAGTTATTAGTGTCATCCATATTTTAGAGATGTGGAAACTGAGACTTATAGAAATCGTGACTTTCCCAAGGCCACTTGGTTGCTAGGTGGAACTAGTGCTCTGAGCCAGGTCTTCTGAAAATCCAAGACGTTTTCCATTTTCTGCTTGTGAAACATGTTGAACTGGTAGAGCAAGTTGTCTTCCTTTTTTCTTTAAAAAATTTGCTTTTCATTTAAAATTTGCTTACTTAATCTTATTGGTTAGAACAAAGTATAAGTAGTTGTTTTAAATGTAAAATGTCTGATGACTCATGAATTATTTTCTCTTTTTCTGATCAACTTCATTGAGGTATAATTTACATACAGTTATTTGCAACCATTTTTAGTGTACAATTTGATGCCTTTTGACAAATGTATGTATCTGCAAAAACCACCACAATTGGCAGAGCGAACATTTCTGTTCCCTCTTGTTAATTTGCAGTTAGTCTTTCCCTCCACCTTGGCCCCCAAGCCACCACTGATAGGTTTTTGCCTCTGTAGACACATCTGTATTTCCTAGATTGCATATAAGCGGAACATACAGTATATACTTTTGGGTCTTTTTTTTCATGCATCGCAATGATTTTTCTTTTAAATAGAGATGATGTCTTGCTATGTTGCCCAGGCTGGTCTGGAACTCCTGGGCTCAAACCGTACTCCCGCCTCTGCTACCCAAAGTGTTGCGATTATCGGCATGAGCCACTGTGCCTGGCCAGCATAGTGATTTTTGAGATTAATCCATGTTGTTGTATGTATCAGTAGTTCCTTTTTATTGTGGATTAGTGGTCCACTGTATGGATATACCACATGTTGTTTACTCATGCACTTGTTGCTAGACATTTAGATTGTTTCTGGTTTTGGACTCATGAAAAAAGCTGGTATGACCATTGATGTATGAGTCTTTCCTAGGTCGGGTAATGGCCCAAAATGGAATTGCTTAGTTATAGGGGAGTTCTTTGTTTAACCCTCTGAATAAATTGCCAAACAGTTTTCCAAAGTGATTTGACCATTTGTTTTAGTTTCCTATGGCTGCCGCAACAAGTTACCACAAACTTGGTGGCTTTAAACAACAGAAATTTGTTCTCTTACAGTCTGGAGATCAGGCATTGAAATCAAGGTGTCACCAGGGTCACACTCCCTTTGAAGGACTTTAGGGAAAGCTCCTTCCTTGCGTCTTCCAGCTTTTGGTGGTCCCTAGTGTTCCTTGGCTTGTGGTAGCATCACTTCATAACTTCTCTGCTTCCATCTTCACGTGGCCTTCTTCTCTTTGTTTCTGTGGCTCAAATCTCTCTCTTCTTTCTCTTCAAAGAAATCATTGGATTAGGACCCATCCTAAATCCAGCATGATCTCGAGATCCTTGAGAGCCTCAACTTAATTACATTTGCAATGACACTTTTTCCAAATAAGGTTACATTCATATGGGCCAGGTTTTTGGATTTGGACATAACTTTTTGGGGCACAATATTCAAACGCACTGCACCCTTTTACGTTCCTACCAACTGTTGGTGGGAATGTAAAATGAGAGTTCTACTTGTTTCATATCATTGCAACGCTTGATATTGTCAGTCTTTTAAGTTTTAGCCGTTCTAGTAGATGTGCAGTGATGTTTGATTGTGATTTTAATTTGCATTTCAGTGATGACTAATGAGGTTGCATATGTCTCTTTTTGTAAATCTTTATTGAAGTTTAATTTACATACCATAAAATTCACCTGTTTTAAGTGTACAACTCTATGGTTGGTAGCATATTTGCAGAGTTGTGTAACTATTGCCAGTCTTATTTCAGAACATTTTCATTCCAGAAGAAACTTTGTATCATTTGCAGTTATTTCTCAATTCCACTTCATCCCTAGGGAACCACGAATCTGCTGTTTTCTGTAGATTTACCTTTTGTGGACATTTTTGTATAGATGGACTTATACAATCTGTGGTCTTTTATGTTTGGCTTCTTTCACCCAGGATAATGTTTTTGAGGTTCGTCTATGTTGTAGCATGTATCGATACTTAGTTACTTTTTATTACACAGTAGATAGAATTCCAGTGTCAGGCCGGGTGCGGTGGCTCATGCCTCTAATTCCAGCATTTTGGGAGGCCTAGCCTGGCAGATTATTTGAGATTGGGATAACGTAGATCAGGACCAGCCTGGCCAACTTGGTGAAACCCTGTCTCTAATAAAAAATACAAAAATTAGCTGTGAGTGGTGGCCCACACCTGTAATTCTAGCTACTTGGAGGGCTGAGGCATGAGAATCACCTAACCTGGGAGGCAGAGGTGGCAGAGAGCCCAGACTGTGCCACTGCTTTCCAGCCTGCGTGACAGAGTGAGACTCTTGTTTCCAAAGAAAGAAAAGAATTCCAGTGTCAGGATATATTATGTTTTGTTTATCAGTTTACCAGTTGTTAGACATTTGAATTGTTTCTACCTTTTGACTGTTATGAAAAATGCTACTGTGAACATTTGCACACTAGTTTTTGTGTGGACGTGTTTTCATTCCTCTTGAGTAGATACCTAGGAGTGGAATTACTGGTCATATGGTAAATCTATGTTTAACATTTTAAGAAGCTGACAAATGGTTTACTTGTGTGGCTACACCATTTTACATTCCCCAGCAGCCATTTGGAGAGTTACAATTTTGTCACATCCTTGGCAACACTTGTCATTGTCTATCTTTTCTATTGTAACCATCATACCGGGGAGAAGTGGTATCTCATTGTGGTTTGATTTGCATTTCTCTCATGGGTAATAATGTTACGCATTTTCTCATGTGCTTATTGGACATGCATAGATCTTTTGTGAAGCATCTGTTTAAAATCTTTACCCATTTTTTTTGTTGGATTGTTTGTGTTCTTATTAAGTTTCATGAGTTCTTTTATTTTCTAGAAACAAATTCTTTGTTTACTATGTGTGTTGAAAACATTATCTTCCTAAATGTCTAGGTTACTTAATGGTTTTTAATCAGGATTCAATTTATCAATATTTATTCTTACGGTTCACGCTTTTTGTGTCATATCTGTGCAATCTTTATTCCAAAGTCACAAAGATTTCTTGTTTGCTTTTTAAATTAAACTTTGTCATCCCCATAGTGGGTACTTAGTTTTTATTTTTCTTTTCTCTCTGAAATAACTTAGATCATATTTTCTCCCTTGTGATTGCTTATGCTATAGACTTTTATGCTATTTCCAAGTCTGGAGGGTGAATAAGGTTGAACCAAATAGCTTTCTATGATTAACATTTATTGAATTTGTGTTAAGCATATGAGAGTACTGTACCATATTCATGCATTTTTTA